TTCAGGGCTTTGGCACATTGCTAAAGAGTCACCCTGGGAAACTGGCTCCTCTGCAGGCTCAGAATGGCCTAAATCCAGGCACGAGATGATCCCAGAGACATTGCAGCAGGCAAGGAGGGATTTGGGGATATGCTGGGAGGGGGAGGGGAAAGAGACCCTCCCTTCACACGGCCCCCAGAATTGCTCAGTCTAAAGGGATTGCAGGGGACCAGAGCTGAGGCCTCAAGGTAGCGCAAGCCTAGGAAGTCCCACCTGGGCTGATCCAAAGCTGCCCGCCCTCTGAGCTCCCTGCAACTGCAATGGAGGGAGCCCTTTGAACATGTCTAGCACGCTGTCAGCCGGGCCAAGCTCTCTGCAGGAACTGCCCATTAATTAGCAAATGCCCGGAAGATGCTTTTGCCTATAAGACAAACTCTTGGGGTGGGGGCTAACTGACGCCATGGGTGCAAGCTTCACTTGTGCAATCCCTTGGTCAGTGCACTGCAGAGGGGGAGCGCTTGGCTGGGAAGGTCACTTGGGCCAGTGAATTCTTCCTTAAGCCCCCCAGATAGGCTCAGCTTGGAAAAGCGTGAGAGAGGTGGGCTGGCAGGGGAGGGGCTGCATTGGGCCCTCAAAAGCCGCCTGGCCAGCCTGGCCATTCTGTGGTCACGGGGCTCTGTGCTTCATCTCTGACCTATCAGACCTGGAGTTCTTCACTTCAAAACTGAACCTTGCTGAGCTGAGATCAAACAGGCCAAGGTGGATGCTCAGCCGATGATTTATCATGCAAAGGGGCTGGGAAGGACAAAGCCAGCGGCATTCCAGCCGTTTCTCATCTGCGTAGAGAAGGCAGCTCCCAAGCCGAGCGGAATTGGGGGCTTTTCCCCCCCCTCTTTTTCCCATGGCCTTTCTTTGTTTTGCTTTTTAAGAGATAAATATTGAGAGAGATCTTGTCCGTCCTAAAAGGATGAGGTGTTCTGTAGTAAAGAACAGCATTTTCAGAAGCTGATTATTAACAGGAAGGCTAGAATTACTCTCTTCACCTAAAACAACACAGAGAGGCATAATTCAACTCTGTATTACTGAAAAGGGGCCCAATCCACCAGGAAACACTCCCAGCAGGACCTGGTTGGTGTCAAGCTGCTCCCTGCAAGCAGCCATTGAGTCCTAGGAGTTGAACTGAGATCCGTTTGGTCGGCAATGGCCGGTGGATCAGGCCCTGTTCTCCCTACTTTTTTGAGGACGGATTCTTTCTCTGCCTCCCTAAAGTGGGGTTCATGAATTGGGAGTGATGTGGACCTCATCCCAAAGGGGAGGTTCCCTCCTCCTCTCAGCGCTCCATCTAGTTCTCCTGCTCACGCCGCTGCTCCCCCAATCCCTCCTCTGCCCGCCAGCCAGCCTCTCTGCCTCCCCTTCAGTCCTGAGGCTCTGCTCAAAGTGGTCCCCAGTTTTCAGGCCGGAGTTACGTCTTTGCAGTGGTGGCTCCTCTCCTGGGGCATCTGTGTTTGCCATCTTGCAGCAGAAAGGACCACAGACCCGGCTGCCACAGACTGCCTGGCACCCCACTAGCTTATGTGATTTGCTATTCAGTGTCTCCTGTGAGCCTCCCCCCCAATTGGATACCTGAAATCAGCCACTGGTGAGGGAGGAACATGCAAACAGAGCAAAACTGTTAGGTTCAGCCTCTCTGGCTCTCAGGGCCCTCTTGGCAGAGAACAGTGGAGGCCGGTTGCCCCGTCTGGGGCCTAGAGAGACAGAGAGACCCACATGGCATCTTTTTTGTGTCTTGTCTCCATGATGCTCTTCCTATGGAAGAGGACTTATCTAGGCAGGCCACTCTCTTAAAGGGTTAAGCAATTTCAGACAAGGGTCCCTGGACCCCACCACCTATAGAAGGGCAAAAACCAGGAAAGGACTGACCTTCACAGGAGAAGGTGGAGGAGTACTTGGAGGGGGGGTGTCACATCTCCCCATGTTTAGCTGAGCCCAGGATCTTCAAGTCTCCTCTGCATGGATGTGGTCCCGTGTGGATCAGGGCAGCCACCAGGCCAAAAACAAATGAATTCTCAGAAATTCAGATGCATCGAGGCTCAACCTTTGGAACAGCACCAGGGTTAGGGAAACATTTGTCCAGAATAAGAAGAGGAAGGGTTGAGCACATCCAGAAACACAGGTGCTGGCCCAGCATCAGCGGGATTATGAAATACCTACCAAGGGAAATGCAAGCTGCCACATTTTTTGCGTGTTTTCAAAATTGTCCAAAAAAAGTACCGTTATGTACTCAGCTCTTCAGCCACAGGATGGTCGCTTGGGGCCAAACAGCTGTGACTCCTCCAGAAACGTCTCTGGCATTTGACACCCCCCCCCCTTGCTCCAGTTTTACAGGTTTGGCCTCAAAACCTCTCAGAGGATCAATCATCATATGAAAAACAATCACTTTGATGGAACTGAAACTGTAACCAGCTACTAAATCAGTGCAAGTAGGACCTTCCGATTCATCCACAAATCTGCTTCTCCCCTATGGGGAAGCCTATTTTTAAATGGATACTGAAATCCCTTTCCTGTACAGAAGGGGGGAAATCCTCCTGGAATGTCAAAAAGCACAAGAACGTGGCTCACTAAAACTGGGGAAAAGCAAGGCCTGAGGAAGCACATTCAGGCTCTGGCTGGACACGGGCGGCTGGTAACACCTATCCCAGCGGTACGGAGAGGATTGCGTATCACACGCAGCAGCACAGGAGAATCTCCCAGCAAAGGAAATGAGAGCCTCCAGTTTGCCAGGCTGGACAGCGAGTGTGAATTCGGGGAGCCAAATGGGGGGCAATCTCTGTCTCCCTTTGCAAAGTTCTCCCTTTGAGAGAAAAGGCTGGTCTGTCAGGTGAGCGCCAGAAGAATCAGATGGTCTCTCTGGCCACAAAGAGAAGCCATTACAAGGTGATGCTCTTTACTGGTTTGTCAAAAGGCAGCTGTGAAAAAAGATACCCTGTCTGGAAGATGTTTTTGCATTTGAAATTATTCCACTTGCTTCTTGAAAATTTCTCTACCCTTAAAACTAGCCACAATTCCATTGATCTGCAGCTAAGAGAGGGGCAGGGGGGACAGACTTGGGGTACCAAGAGCTCTTTGCACCCACACTTTCTAGGATGAACCCCCCCCCCGCCTGACTGAGCCAGCCTGCCCCCACAGTCAGAACTCCGACCACATTGGATGACCACATCGATGGCTAACTACTCCCCTTCCCCCTGATTTCTCACCCCAAGAGCAATAACTCTGGGCTCAAATCAAAACACGTCTTAGCAACTCTTGGGAAACCTGGTTAATCAGTTACCATCCATATATTCACCCACACGCACTGTGGCTTAAGGCTGAATTAAGCTGTAAAAATCCCCCAGCTGATTTATGGCTGCAGCTAGCCTTAATTAACCCTGATTCCAGGGCAATTGTGCCGGCTGGAGAGCTTTCCCACTTGAGAAGGAACAATGCCCCCTCTGGGCGGTGCCAATCTGGGCATGATTTACAAAGGGGCCCTTTCTCCCTGGGGCTATCCCTTTCTCCCTCTGGGCTTGGGGAAGGGCTGTATATAATTCACTGATAGCAACATTTGCTGTCAAATAGCCGCCTTGATTTAACGTTGCCCACTACAATGGTCGCAATAAATAAGAACAAAACAAGCGAGTGGGATGAAAACCCCATTTGAGGCTTCGCAGGGATCCCTGTTCGCACAATGTGTCATTCTTGTCCGAGCCGGTGGCATTTTTACGAACTGGCCCTAATGAAAGTCAGATCAAATGTGCAGCTCTCAGCATTTAATCAACGTCCACTGGAAGTTCTTAAAAGTCCTGGCAAAGCCTCATTTATCGTTGAAGACTCTGCCTCTGGGCGGGAAAGGGCTTGTGGCATGGCACTACCTGACACCAAATGCCTAAACTCCCCAAAAGTGAGTTATTTCAGCATGAGATCAGGCTTGTAAAGCCGCCAGCTGCTGAATTTCAGGACTTGAAACCTTTCCAGGAAGTTGGTGGAGGTACTTTATATGGAGGAGAGAGTAAATATTCCTCCTTTACAGCCAAATTGAAGGCAGTCCGTTTACAGAAATGATCTGGCAAAGCCTGAGTTTTGTTTATAGAACAACGTGGGACAGGAAGAAGTGAATGTTAACCATTAACAGTAGCAACTCCTCCACTGCCTCTTCCTGCATTGGGAGACTCAAGGCCCTGACCGAGCCGTTTCCATGTGACGCCCGAGAGGGCACCCCTGCAATGTTCAGCCGCCTCGGGTGGGGAAGGTTCCTGGGGGGCTTTCAGCCTGCTTGTTGCCAGTTGCTTTTGAGGGCATCACCCCAAGAAAAAGGGAATCCATTTGGGGGGTTCGGAGAGCGGATGGGGAGGGGATTGAAGGAAGGGCCCTGATTTTGCCAAAACCAGAGGAATTCCCCCTCCTCTAAGGCAGGACATGGCCAGGGGTGTCTTTGTCAGTTGCACACAACCAACAACAAGGCGGGCAGGAAGCGTCCTTCAGGCAGTCTCTGTCCAGGCTCCCAGAAGGGAACCCTGAAACCAGGGAAAGCAGCCTAGGGAGAATTTCCCAACCTGGTGACCCTCGTGCTAGTGCAGTGGTTCTCAACTGTGGGTCGGGACTCCATTTGGGGTCGAACGACCATTTCACGGGGGTCACCAAACAAGGCTGTCCGCCATTTTTTCCCCTTTTCTTTAGCCACGCCCCTGGCACCCGGTGATGTATAAGTGGTTGGGGGTCACCACAACATGGGGAACTATATTATGGGGTCGTGGCATTAGAAAAGTTGAGAACCACTGTGCTAGTGGAACTATGGTTCCCATGACCCCTGGAGGAATGCTGGGAATGGTAGTCCTGAAAGGACTCAGGTGCAGGAAGAAGGCCTCTCTAGGAGGGAAAGGAGGAGGCTTTCTAACACCCCAAAAGTGCCAGAAGAGGGAAGATGAAGGGGAACCTCTGCATTTTAGCCAAAACCAAAAAGGCTCATTTTTTTCTTGTCATTTCAGATCTTTATCAATAACGAGTGGCAAAACTCTGAGAGTGGGAAAATATTCCCTGTATTTAATCCTGCAACAGGAGAACAGATCTGTGATGTGCAAGAAGCTGACAAGGTAAAGATAAGTGGCATTTCTAGCCTGCCCTTGCATCTCCCTGCAATGGTCCTGTAAGGAAAGTCAGCTTGAGAGAAAAAAGGCCTGATGCAAATGGCCCGGCCGGCTCCATGGTCAGGGAAGGTCTGGCATCCAGGTCCCCCCAGCCCCCCAATGAGGTTGCAGGAACTGCAGGGTGCTGCTTTCTGGGATGGAGGGGGAGGTTCCAGTTGCCAAGCGAGGGGGTGGCTCTTGGGGTACCCTGAGCGCCGCTGGCCCTCATGCTTCTCCCATTTCGCAGGTTGATACAGACAAAGCGGTGCAGGCTGCTCGGCTGGCCTTTTCCTTGGGCTCAGTATGGCGGAGGATGGATGCCTCTGAGCGAGGACACCTCTTGGAAAAGCTGGCCGATCTGGTGGAGAGAGACCGGGCCCTCCTCGCCGTAAGTCAAGCGGGTGGGACGCTGCGGGAGGAGGCCAAGCACTGCCCAGGTTAACTGCCTTTCTAACGTCTACTTGAGCCATTGTAAGTTCTTGGGAGAGCGCTGAGAGTAGCCTTTGAGTTCCAGGGCAAATTCGACCAATAATGGTGCAAAAGCTATCCTGGTCAACCCTGGGCAGATCTGGGCTTCCCCCACCCAGGGTGCCCAAGAGGCACTGAGCTGCAGGCCCACTGTGGTGGAGCACGTGGTGAGCCCCGACACGGTGGCATGGCTAATGTTATTTTCCACATGTCAGGCGCTTTGAACTAAGCCGGCAAACATCTTAATTCCAGCTTTGTCAACACTTAAATCATCTTACCACCGGCATACGCTGTAAAATCACCACAGGGAGAAGGGAGGGGCTCAGCAAATCAGCTGGCCGTCTGCCAGTGGCTGGATTTGTGGTTCCTGAGCCAAACCTTTGTTGAATTTGTCCACCATAGACATGGCTGCCAGCCCCACTGGCAGAAGAAATGAAGGTGCAGCAGCCCTCCTGTGCTTCAACTGGATTTATGGCTCTCACCCAGCGGCTTCCACGGATGCATTTGGGGCCTCTTAAAAGTGATTTAAGCCATTGCAGCAAACATTTTATGGGGCTCCTTAAGAGGAATATGGAAATATCCCCTCAACAAGAGCCTGCGGCTTCTTTTAATTGGTTTGGAGCCTCTGTGGGGAAGGGCATGGGAGCTATCTTGACTGCCAGAGGAGCCTCAGGCAGCAGCTAAGACAGGCATTCTTGAGCATCCGCTCAGCTCTCCCTGGAGGACCGTCCAGCTCTTCTTTAGGCAGCTGTTTGGTCCCAGCATTGAGAGAGCTGGAGGACATTTTGCCTTGTGCTGGGGCCAAAAGGTTGATCTGAATGACCTGGACAGGGCAGCCCCCGAGGAGGGCCAGATGGCATCTCCTGACCTTGGGGGACTTGGGCCAGGGTGCTTTTGTGGGCCCCCACCCTGCCTTTCAGAGGGACGTGACAGAAAACTGCTGCCAGAATTGCTTTGATGTATCCTGTGAAAAAGGACAGTGCTCTCCTCCAGCACAGAACTAGGTGGAGTGCAAGGCACAGTGGAGGTGTCCTGAGCAGCCCCCTTAGCAATGTCTCAGGATTTTGACCTTGCAAGGGAGGCACTCCAGATGAATCACACTGGGATCCCACCAAAGCTCAGCTGGCCTTGACCTGAATTGCGCCTTTTTAGCCCTCGGTCGGCTTTCTGCTCTTAGGTGGCTCAGCAGTCTGCTCTGTGCCACCTCTCTAAATGTGGACTAGACACATGAGTGCATACTGGCTTGGCCACAGCATTGGCAGCTCAATGTGTCCAGAACCACTCTGTTGCAGCCCTCCCCATTGGACATTCCTTACAGCTAGTTCTATTACCAAGTCGAAAACTAAGCCTTGATTCTTGCTCCTCTTTGTCTCCCAGACCATGGAGTCGCTGAACAGTGGGAAGCCATTCCTCCAGGCCTTCTACGTTGACCTTCACGGCGTGATCAAGACCTTGCGGTATTTCGCCGGTTGGGCAGACAAGATTCATGGGTTGACCATCCCAGTGGGTACGTTAGAATCTGCCCTGCATTCGTTCTGTGGCATATGTATCTCCAGCGCCAGGCTGGGGCACTTGCATGGAGTTGCTGTGTTCTGAGCCCCACCCCCAATTCTTTTCCTCCACTGTACCCGGAGGTCCATTTTCCCTTAAACTCAGGCCTGGGTCATTAGCACCTTTGCCATCTCAAGATCCAGCACCATCTCCAGCTGGAGACCGGTCACCTGTGAGGGGGCGCAGGGCAGTCCTCCGCGAAAGGGGCCAAGCTTGGCCTTCCATGCCCCTAGTCTTCCCGCAGACCCATCATTCTCTGGGGCAGAGTGTGCTTGTCAGACTCAGTTTAGCACCCTGGCTGATTCCCCCCCCCCCAGCCATGACCACCTTCCCCTGAGCCGAGAAAGATGCTGGATATACAGCCAGATGAGAACCACAAACGGCCTGATGCTTTCCTGCCCCAGTTTAAAGCAGGATTCTTTTAATTGCCAGGTAGTTTCAGTGGTTTTATGGAAACAGTAAAACTTTCAGCATTGCCTGCTCAGTTTCCGCCCATAAGGGCAATTCCCAGCTGCAGAAAGATCAACGTTTGGGCAAAGTGGTCTGTTTTTGTCAAGCATTGTTACTCGGCCTCATTGACACCCATTTTATAGTGCACATCAGGTGGGCAGGCAAGGTACGGAGAAGACAGCCGACTTTAATCTCCCTCCTCCCCATAAACCTTTCTGCACAAGGGAAGTCTAATAAAGTGGTCCATCAAACTGCAGATCCTGAGGGTGAGAAAAAGGTGCTTCCAAAGACCACCTCGAGCTTTGGAAGTCCTGGCAGGTTGAGCCAGGTCAGAGGATCCAGCCTTGCCTGGTCCCAAGCCGCAATTTAGTTCATCATCTGCACCCTCATCTCAGATCAGGAACAGCCGTAAAGTGGGGTCCAGCCTGGTGAAATTGGGCAGCAAACTGACTGATCAAGCCCCAAAGTCCGGGGGCCCTTAAGGGAAGGCCTGAGTGCCCGAATGCCCACTCCCATGGCAGATTTCTAGGTGGGGTCATGGGGCTTCTCCATCTTTAGCTTGGCAGGGAACCGGCTCTCCATTCCTAGCAGCTTCCGTGGGGTGTTTCTTGCTGGAAGGAGCACCGCAAGAGGCTTCGGTCCATTCAGGGCATGAGGAATATTCACTCTCTTGGGATTACATTTTAATGTCTCTGGAAATCTGAGACTGAAATTTGCCATCTGCCTCTTGCCTCAGTCCAAGCCCAATTGCTCCATGTCTCTGAATCGCTTCAGAGTCACCCGGCTAGCCATGGCACAGAGGGGGAAATGGTTCCTCCGGAGCTGTGTCTTTGGCTCGGGGTCCAGAAAGGGTCTTTGGCTTCCCAAATGGGGTTGGTCTGAAAATGATCAACTTCCAAACATCCCTTGAGGATGAGGCAGCTCCTCTCTAAGAAACAGCTGGCTGCAGCTGTGCTGCCTGGTATGATCTACCCAGAGCTGACGCCCTCCAGATGGTTCTGGCTGCTGACTGGCCTACCCAACAGGAGGACGGGAAGGGGGGGGGTTCCATCTCCTTTTATCTCCTCTGGGTCTTTTCCTAATTAGCCTCCCCAGTCCTCCCCCCTCACTCCATGGGGTGGAAGCTTCCCTTATCTGCTCTGGCTGGCTTCCTTTCTCCACTCCCTTTTTGCTGATAACTGGCCGGTCTTTATGTGGCTCCTTGGAATGCCTTGAAAACATCACTGCTCACCAAAGTGGATCCCAGCTGGCTGGGCAGACCCTCTTCCCTCCATCTCCATCCCCAAATTGTTCAGCGCAAAGAAGTGGGGAAGTACAGCAAGGCAAAAAAGAGCCTGTGGCTGATCTGAGTCAGGCTGGAAACAAGGCTGGACCTCAGATGCCGTTGGAAGTCCCAGGTTTTCCATGATCAAAGGCTGGCAGGGTCCTTCTCAGCTCCTCTCTGGAGAAATGTCCCACATCCCATAGAAGCCCTCCCATCTTGCCTGAAATCCTGGCAGGCCGGCCATTCACGAGTTCCTGTCCTGGCCTCACCTTTCTCTCCCCTTCCATTCTCTGGGGTGAGCCATGTGGCCTCCCTTGCTCCCCCTTTCTACTTCATGCAAGGAGGGACCCCAGTTCTTCCTTTGGAAGGAATTAAGAAGCAGAAAAGCTGCCCCTCCATAGAGCAGGAGAGCAGCCCCATAATGCACTGCCCTCCAGTTGTAGTTGTGGGCTAGGACCCCCAGCCAGGAGCAGTGGGCTAAATCATTCACATCTCTGTTTAGAAAGTGGGAATTAAATTATGGGGAGGCTAACAGAAACAATAGCGTTCTCCTCTCAAAACCCCACAGCTCAAGATCAGTGATGGGGTGGGGGGAGAAGATGCAGGGCTGAACAGGCACCATCAGCTCTATTCCGCAAAGCAGTATTGATTGATGGCATTCAGTGAAACAAGACAAGGGGGGTTCATTTCCAGGGCACCTTTTGAACAGGGGTGGCCCCCAGTGTACCCTGAATCCCCCGGATTGACGGCAGCCTTCTGCGAGACAAACAATGTCCAGCACCACCAGGCCTCTCTGACCAGGTCCTGCTTGGCCGGCCTTTGAGCAAAGACAGGCCTGGTGGCGCTTGGTCGAATCAACCCTTCCAAACAGCCTTCCCAGACAGGGATAGGATTGGGCCCATTCCAAACAGAATAGCCAGGAAGTCCACAGGATGAGGCAGCAGGTTGGGGGCTTTGGCTGGCCCCTCCTGAAGGCAGAGAGTCCCTGGCGGACGGGCCCCTGACCAGGTGGTGGACTCTGGGCACAGGAGCAGAGGGAGCCCCTGAAAGGCAGAAATGGTCAGGGGAGCAGGGGAGGCCTTGTTTGGGCCAGAGGATGGGCTTTGTGGCTGGCCATGTGATGCTCCCCAGAGAACCTGGCACCATCTTTCTTTTTTGTCGCACACTTGCACGCACAAGTGCGCAGGCGTGCACACGCGTGCACACACACACACAGAGTGTGCTGCTCTTCTCCCTCTGGCTGCTCCTCTCAGGGTGCTCGTGAGACTAAACAGGTCCCTCTCTTCCAGACGGAGATTATTTCACCTTTACGAGGCATGAGCCCATCGGCGTGTGTGGACAGATCATCCCGGTGAGTCTCTCCAATACATCTTGTATTTATTTTCATTGGAATCGGCTCCCTTGAAGGGAGCTTCAGCCCGGGTGTGTTTCTCATTAGGGGTGACCAGGCCAGGGGAGAGGCAGGGAAAACACACTGCGGGAGGATCTGTAGCCATCAGTCGCCCTTCCATTGCTTATTTGCACATCTTAATAGAGTTTTAGAGCAGCATTATTAGGGGAGCCTCCAGCCTCAGAATTCCCAGGACCAGAGCCAAACAATCCAGCAGCCTTTGGTGGCTGTTGGCCAAGAAAGGCAGGGAGGTGGAAGGAAGGAAGGAAGGAAATAGGATGCCTTATGGAAGCATTTTACCTTTTGTCTTCAATAGCTCCAAAATATTGGGGCACCCAGCAGGGAGGCCTTATGCCTTCTTTCCTGAGACACCCCAAGGCAACTAGGCCAGTCTTCCCAGGGGGCCAGGAGGATCTGTTGAGCAGTGCAGCTGAAGGGCCTCCCTTTCCCTGGGCCAGCAGAGGACAGCCGGCCTCTTCCTCCCCTTTGGGGACCAAGCAGAAGCACAGCACCACAGCTTTGTGTTTTTGGCAGGAAGAGTGTCAAAAAGTCCGACAAAGGAGCAGGGGCTCCAAAGGGGCATTAAGGGGCCCTCTGTGCCAGTCTCCCTCACTTGTGTGGCATCTGCTGTCCCCCTCCCCATTTTATGCAGGAGCTGGCAACAAAGGGCTTCTTCTGGGAAAAGGCATTCCATGTGTCCACATCACTCTGCTCATGTCATGCTCAGGCTGAGCCACAGCGCAGAGTCAGTTGAGGGCTATGGGGCAATCAGTGGGGCAGGATCACAGACTTGATTTGTATGCTCCCTGTCAACCGGGACCATATAAAAGGAGAGAGAATTTTGCTGCAAGAATAAGGATGGAGCTAATCCGTCCAGTCAACCAATTCAGACACCTTTTTTTTCCGGGCTAAAATGATGTGCTGACTAACTCACAATAAAAGCATTTTGCTTGCACAGTGGAACTTTCCCCTCCTGATGTTTGCATGGAAGATTGCACCGGCCCTTTGCTGTGGCAACACCGTGGTCCTCAAGCCGGCCGAGCAAACCCCGCTCACCGCCCTCCACCTGGGCGCCCTCATCAAGGAGGTAAGGAGCCCCTGACACACGTGTGGCCATGAGCCCCTGCTGCCGCCAGCTTTTCCTCAGCCATGCTCTCTCTCTCCCCTCCCCTTCCCTTGACAGGCGGGGTTTCCTCCAGGTGTGGTCAACATTTTGCCTGGATTTGGACCCACTGTGGGGGCAGCAATTGCTTCGCACACAGGGATTGATAAAATCGCCTTCACAGGTTCCACAGAGGTAAGATTGGGTGCTGGGGGGGGGGGAGAAGAGAGCATCACCCCATCCTTTACATTGGCATTCAGAAACCGAAGCATTTAGGAATCCCCTATACCAAGAAGAAACTGGATGCCGGATGAGGTCGGGGCCAGTACTCTGCCGCCTTTCCAGTAATGGCAACTCCTCTTCCCATCGTTTCTCAAACCTCGTGTGTAATCCCTTCCCCCCTGCTCCAGGGCTATGTGTCCCACCTCAGCCCACCCTCAGGGCACCTCCCAGGCTGTGAGGGAGGGACTTCCCCCTTCCCTTCGGGCTCTCTTGAGTTTGGGGGAGCCGACTATGCCCAAGTCAGGTGTCCTGGTGGATTTGTTGAATGGCTTTGGCCTGTGTTTGGTTAAGGAGACTCTCGCACTGGCTGCTGCTGACTTACTATGGGAAGGAAACACAGAAGGCTTCGGTTTCAGAACTGCCGATTGCAGCCAAAATAAATGTTCCCTGTCATTTCAGAGGGCTTTCATTTTTAATAGGTGTTTAAAATTAAAATGCCTGGGCTTTTGCCCTAATTCGGTATTTGCCTTGAAAAGCTGGTAACAGGAAGTGAAAAGCATTGCAGGATGAAAAAAAATCTAAAGCAGGAGCAGCTGGAATATTTTAATCTAACTTGAGTGTAAACTGCTTCATGTTGGTTTTGATTTCCTGTCCCGTGGAATTCTTGGAGCAGCAAGAGATGTCTTGAGATAGGTTCTTTGGCCTGCTGGGCCCGAGAAGCCCCCTTGCTCTTGGTCTGCTCCTGGGTGCCCAGCAGCTGCCAGTTTCGGCCAGAGCAGCAGCTGATCAGCCAGCAGACTGAGAGCTTTTGGCTCAGGCCAGCCAATGTCTCAAAAGAGGCAAGGTTTACAGTCCTGCGGTGGGGCTTGGATCCATCCTGGAGAAGGCTGGTGGGGAAGAGGAAGTGTTCTGAAGCAAGTTTTCCACCCCTCTGCAGCCCCTTCCCCTCTTTCTTTAACTCATCCATAGCAAAAGAAGTTCTTAATGCAGTGCTTAACCGTGAACCCCTTTGCCACCAAAGCTCTTTCCCCAGAATTCTTTGACTGCATATTAATAGCTACACAGTCAGCACAGCTTCTGGAAATGGCGGCTGCATTTATTCTTCAACTCTTAGTTGTGCTCTGGACCTCTGAATGCTGTTCAGAAAAAAATGCCACCAAATTCATGAGGGTTTCTGGTGGAAAAAATAGGATCTCTGCCAAAGCTGGTAACTCAGAGGCATTCAGCAGTTAAGGTACCACTGAGTGTAATACTGAGCAAATGCTCAGCCAGGGACGGACATAGGTTTGACTCGGCCTTTTTGGCATTTTCTGGTTCCCAGGCACTATTTCTCTTCCTCCTGCCTGGGCACTGGAATGGATGCTCTCCCTGGGACCCTTTGATGTGCCTCCTTGGAGCCCCCACCCCTGTGCAGGGCTCACCTCCTGCAGGTGGAGGGCTGGCAGCCCAGGAGCCTCTCACCACCAGGGATCGTCTTCCCCAAACTCTCTGGTCATGGGTCACTTCCCCATGCAGTCCCCATGGCAGGCTTTTCATCTATGGCTCATTAGAGATGGTGCTGCAAAGGAAGCCCAGCGCTGCCCTTGTTTTTCCCAAAGTTGTGCTTGACCCTCGGGCAGCAGAAGTGGGGAAATGAGCAAAACAGTCCTCCCTTGAGGCCCATCCTTTCCCCAGAGGGATGGTTACTGCCAGCTTCCCCTTTACCTTCTGTGCCTGGCTTCTTCTGCAAAGCAGCACTTGGAGAAGCTGGGCATGGGGGAGTCAGGAAGGTCCTGCTTCTCTCTTCCCTTTCCACCAGTGCAGGCCCCCCTGCCAGCCCCTCTGAGGGCGGCTCTTTGTCGTTCAGTTGCTTGGCACCGTTGCCATTTCAGAGTTGCGCCTTCCTTTCCCCGGGCCATCAATGGAATCTGGCTGACCATTTGGGGGTTACCACACGGGCCATTGTGGTGCCAGAGAGGAACCCTTCAGGCTGAAAGATTGGGGGCCAGGCTGGGGCTGTGGACCAAGCAGGTCTGTCCCAAGTCAGCCTTGCTCTGCATGCCCTATATTGGCTGGGGAGGCAAGCAGGTGATGTTGCACCTGTGGGTCATTTCCATGCGCCCCCCCGGACTGGAGTGCCTTCTGCTTCCTTTCCACTGCTGAACCAAAAAGTGTGTGTGTGTGGGGGTGTTCACTGCCGAGGAGGCACCCTTTTGTATTAAGTTGGGAAAATGCGGGGTTGCTGAACAAAGAGGTGAAGCGTCAGGAGTGAAGACCTTCCATTAAATCTGTGGAACAACAGAAAGAAGACATGGATGAGCAGAGATTGGGGAGAAATGCTTCTACTCCGCACTTCCTAAACCAAGTTACAAACTGAAATGCAATTAACTCTCCAAAATTAGGAGGACTTGCAGAGTATCTCTTATGCCTGACATTTGGTAGCCATATTCCCAGTTGGGCCTTTTTAAAATTCTTTGCCTGGGAATTTCCCGGGGCCCCTCACATAGCAGCTCGTGGAAACTGAAGGCTGGATTACTCGATTAGCCTGACCTGAACTGATCCCTTCGGCAAGTCTTGGGGGGGGGGGGGGAAGGCCAGCAACATACTGAGATTTACTCAGGAAGGCAGGTTTGGGTGTCACTGTTGGGAGCTGGAAAGCAATAATTCATCATAGATTGCCACATTCTGTTGGCTTCTCTTCGCACAGCTTTGTAAATCTCCAATGCTTAGCTGGAGTTTCTGTCCCAAAGCCATTGCATTGTTGTTTCCCTCTCAAAGGAGGATTTATGTTTCCTCACCCCCATTCTGTCTCCTGTGGACAGAAACTCTAGAATCATCTCAGAACAATTGAAGTTTGATCCAAGTTTACTTTCCCTCCGCAATCAGATGCAGCTTGTGTGCAGAAATGAATGGTGGGGTTTGGGTGGTGCAGCAGGGACACACCCCAGTGAGCTGGACTCATTCTATTTTGCAAACTTGTGTTTCTTTTTAATGGTTTTGGTGCAAAGTCCAAGATATTTAGCCAGGTCCCTCGACAACTTCAATCAAAGGCCTGGGAAAGAGTGTGCCTGCCTGCCTTATGCGGGTGTTTTCTTTATGCAGTGAAGAGCTGAACAAAGCTTGAGTTCGTCATTAGTCAACAAGATACGGGGCAGGACCATCAAAGCAAACTACGGGAGAGGCCAATATTGGTTCACGCCAAGCAAATGTTTGGAGCGAACAGCTGCCTTAACGCTGATAATCGCTGCCCTTCTCAGCCGGCGTCTCCTGTCCCTTTGCCAGAGCCTGGCCAGCCGGCCACCTCCGAGAGGAGCAGCAGGCCTGGGCCTGCACCTTTCCCAGGGCGTCTTATCCTCGGGACTGAGATACCCAGAGCCAGGGGGAAATCTTTCTGCAGGGCTTCTGGACTTCTTTTCAGACCTTCTACCCAAATGTGGCAGTGATCTCCATCTCAGTGGCAACCCTGAATGGGGCCTCCTTGAGAGGCTAGGCAGTTGTCCCCAGCCACGGGCACCCAAAAGCTAGTTGGTGGATGATGTCAGGGAAGCAGGTTTGTTGGAGCCAAAGGAAGCCATTTTGCCCAGAGGGTCTCCTTCTCAAGTTTCACCAGATAAGTACAGAACCTCCCCTGGGGAGCAGCTCATTTGACTTTTTCACCTTGGCACTGAAATGTCTTGGTCAAGCCTTCTGCCCTCCTTGGCTACAGCCCAATTCTGTGTGTATGGTGGGCAGAGACCTCTTCCTGGGCTTTGTGGTAGCCGGTCTGGCAGGGTGAGCTTGGCTGGGCCCAGAGCTGTGCACCAACAGCTGACCGGTTCAGGGAGCAGATTTCTATGTTGGCCCGAGGGGGGGGTGTTTGCACAGCAAATGGCCCCCTCCTAGAGGCTTGCATAACCATGGCGTGTTCCGCAAGGCTCCAGGGAGGTCTCCAGTACCTGCAAGGGGCTCCTTTGCCTGGGTTACATTCCTCCCTTTTAATATAAGTATTTTCCATTCAGCCATAAACCACATCTCCAAAGCAGCTTACCGCAAATTTAAAACAGAGTTTTTAACAAATCACAAAGAAAGCAATTCAAAACAAACTGGATCAAAGAACAACATGAATGAATGAGGGTAGAGAACAAATAGGATTTTGACACCCTTTCCCTCCCACTGAAATTGCATAAATTTATTGGGCTGTTATTTGGTAATTCTGAAGTCAGAGAAACCTCGTTATGCGTGAATCAAACAAATGCAAAACCTCCTCTAAAACAAGTCGAAGGGGGTTAAGAGAGCCGAGTGCTGTGGCCGCTCTCTGAGTAAAAGCTCAGCTTTACCTGAGAAGAACCGGCTCGTCTTCCCCAGACTGGTCTGCCTCCCAAGCACTTCTGAAGGGAAGCAGGTCCGCTCGGCCGCGGCTTCTGGCCCACCCAAAGCAGGCTTAGTGGAGGGGCTGAACTTTGCTAGGCTCCCCCTTCTTTTTCCATTCAGGTTGGAAAGCTAGTTCAAGAAGCAGCCGGCAGGAGCAACTTGAAGCGGGTGACGCTGGAACTCGGGGGGAAGAGCCCCAACATTATCTTTGCGGACGCAGATTGTAAGTTGGCCCCTTAGCAGGTCACCACTCTTCTCTGAACAACTCTCCCCCTCTTTCTAGAAGAGAGAAGACTAAGGAGAAGTAATATTTTGAATAAAGAGAAAAGAGATAAGACAAAGGCCAAAGTGCATAAAAAAGAGAAATAAAATATGATTTTTGATTTTCTTTTATAGCACTTGTAAGTGTAAATTAGCCTATTACTCTACGACCACAGCACGGCTTACATTTTTTATAATCTATTTTTTCTAATCATCAAAATCCTCCCTCAAAAGAAAGGAGGGGTTCATTCAGGGGTCCAAGTTGGACCCCAACAGACAAAAGAGGCAAAAGGCTGCAGCTACTGTGTTTGCATTTGAACCCAGGACCCATTCTGCCTTGTTTCAGATTTTATCCAGCCCGGATTGTGCAAGCAAAACCATGAATTAGTCCATTGTGGGCAGAGCTGGTGTCTCCTAGCTCTGCTCAGATTCTGGAAATCATCTTGAACTCTGCCCTATTTAAAGGGAACCCCCCCCCTCCAGCCACGGGATGGGTGCCTTGGGATGCCCTGGTCTTTTACCCCCCCCATCCCAGCAGCCCCCTCGGAGGGCCAGGCCGGCTGTGCTGGCTGATGGAACCGCTCTGCTCTTGCAGTGGAGCATGCGGTGGAGCAGGCCCACCAGGGGGTCTTTTTCAACCAAGGCCAGTGCTGCACGGCTGGCTCCCGCATCTATGTGGAGGAGACCATCTACGAGGAGTTTGTCCGGAGGAGCGTGGAACGGGCCAAGAGGAGAGTTGTGGGCAGCCCCCTTGACCCCACCACCGAGCAAGGACCACAGGTTGGTGGATGGAGGGTGGGCCACTTGTGTCTGGAGCCTAAGCCTGAGCAAAGGGCAGGGACAGACTCACCGTGGCAGGGTGGATGTGGCTGTGGAGCAGAAGGGAAAGCATCGCTGGGTCCAGGACCAGCGGTGCCAAGGAGCCTCCCCCCCCAATTCTCTTGAGATCGACAAGAAGCAGTACAACAAGGTCCTGGAGCTGATCCAGAGTGGTGTGGCTGAAGGGGCCAGGCTGGAGTGTGGGGGCAAAGGATTTGGGCGCAAGGGCTTCTTCATCGAACCCACCGTTTTCTCCAACGTGACTGATGATATGCGTATCGCCAGGGAAGAGGTACCCAGCTAATCCCCCCAAAACAGGCTCCACTCTCCCCCTCCTCTGCTATGATTTCAGTCCCTTCGGTCGGGCTCAGCCAGACCCCAAAGTCCAGCTGAGCTGATGGGCTCTACGGCTCTACTTGGATGTTGAGCTCGATCCAACATCTCCACAGTTTTCTGGAAGAGCCACCAATAAGTCCATCCTCAGGGATACCTGAGTCCCTCTTCAATTGGCCAGAGGCCTTTCTCTGGTCTGGTCTGAGAAGTTTTCACCAGGGGCTTCTCAGCCGTGCAGCTGGGGTCTCCTGGGGGGGTTGCATGTCTGCCCTGAGATCTTGGTGCTCCCCATGGGGAAAAGTTTCTGGGGCACACCCTTTTCTGCCATTCCCATTGTTTGTTTGTTTTCCATTGGCCCAGGCCTAAAGCTTGGTGAACTTCTTTTGTGCAATTAATTGTGTGTCTACAAAGCCATCCGTTTCCCTGTCCTGCTGGATCCTCATCCGGGGGCAGCATACAAATCCTTGTGGACTTGTTCCCATCAATGACTTTGTCCTCCTTCTACCCCCCCCCAAAGATATTTGGGCCTGTGCAAGAAATCCTGCGGTTCAAAACCATGGAGGAAGTGATCGAGAGAGCCAACAATTCCGACTTCGGGCTGGTGGCCGCTGTCTTCACCAGCGACATCAACAAGGCGCTGACTGTCTCCTCTGCCATGCAGGCAGGAACCGTCTGGTGAGGTTCATAGCACAGCTGGGCAATGGTTCCGGGTGAAGTGGGCGCTGTCCTCATGCCATGCTCCCTCTTTTGTCCAGGGTCAACTGCTATAATGCCTTAAATGCCCAGAGTCCTTTCGGAGGTTTCAAGATGTCCGGCAACGGAAGAGAAATGTAAGCAAGGTTGTTCTGGATGGGGACTTGCCTTGCAGGTTCTGGGGGGAAGGTCTGGAGGGTCCCAGAGGCTCCCAATTCAGAGGAATTTTGGGGGTAGGAGAACAGGTCCCTCTTTGGGGTGAACCCACCAGGATTTCCTTTTGTCCTGGAACCACACAGCTGGACAAGAGTGGCCTGCCTTCTCTCGCCTTCTTTTGGGGAGTGAGGCTGCAGTCGGCCCTTCAGTCTGAACTGTCCACGTCCCACACGTGCCTTCTTGAGCCGGTCCTCCTCCTGCCCACATGGGGACTGGCCCCGTCGGTGGCCCAGGCTGAGTGCTGGTTGGGGGCACCTGGGCCCGGCCTTGACTCCTTGTCTTCCTTTTGTGGCCAGGGGAGAATGCGGCTTGCGAGAATACTCCGAAATAAAGACGGTGACCATAAAGATTCCTCAGAAGAACTCCTAAGAGGAGGGGGCTCCACAGCACCAGACGCGCCTCTATCTTTCTCTAGAGGGACTGAGCACTCAGGAATTTTTAAAAAGTGACACTATTTGTTTTTTTTTAAAAAGTAACATCACAACCAGGTTCATTATTCAACTTGAGGAATTCTTCTCCACTGCTGACACCGCGCTCTTTTGATCTTGCGCAAGATTTCTCTCAAAAGAGAAATCTTTTGAAGCATGTTTGAGCTGGATGGCCGATTCCCATGCTGAGAGACACAGGCACACTGTCTTCTTGGCTGGACAAGAAGGGCTGCGCTGAGAGGACTTTTCCAGGGGAGGAGCAGGCAGGAGGCAGCCCCTGGCTGGCACAGCCCCTCTGCTCTCTGGGCAACCCAGCCAGGCAGGCCTGGAGCATTTTGTGGGCGCCCGTCCCGCTGCCTGTGCCATTGCCTTGGGAGGTTCTCCTAGCTCTCCTCAGGGGGAAGGAACAGGCAGTTTGGCCAGGTGGGGCTCCTGGAGGGCCTTGGCTCCTCCTGCTCTCTCTCCTTCCCCCCCCCCCCGGGGGTCACTAAGAGGCAGCCCTCCTCAGCAGCCCTCACTGCTGCTTCAGGAAATGGGCTTCCTGGCGCCTCCATTTATTCCCCTTATCTGATTGCAGAAGGCCCTTTGGGGGTGGGGTGGGGAGATGCTTTCCTTCCCTATGCAGGGGCCTCAGAATTCCCAAAGTCCCCATCATCCAGGTGGTTCTTCCCTCGGCCAGGCATCAGACTCCAGCTCCTCTGATGATTTTGCCTCTCCTTGCCAACCTGGCCCTCTTTGGCTTTGAAGTGGTGACCAAACAGATGTCCCTCCCACCACTGGCAAAGGTTTTGAGGAGAACCTTCCCCCCCAAAAAACTCTGCTGACCTTCAGCCTCAGGAGGCTGGATTTAAGACTGAAAGCCGTAGGTTGGCAGATGGAGTCGAGTTAACCCCCCCCCCGTCAATGGGTCCCATTCCTGCCATCAGCAGGAACCATCCTCCTCGGCTGCTTTCTGCTTGAAATGGTTTCAGGCAGCAACTTTTGTTCCGAAGAGGGAGCCCTCAACTCACTCAGTGGCTCCCTGGAACACCGTCTCCCCAGTTCTGGCTGAGGAGCTGGGAGCCCCTGAAAACAGCATGGCCGCAGCACCACGCTCCGCCAGATCTGGCTAGGCTTCTCCAGGAGCTGAGCCAAAGCCCAGGGTGCCTCCCAGGGCATCAGGGGCCCAAAGGCTGAAGTGGCTGTGCTGAGCTGTGGCTCTTGGGCTGCATTTGACCTGTTGGGAGGACAGCTGTGTGGACTCAGCTGCGTTCGGTGAATGGATCTCCAAAATGATTGTGTGTCAGAAACACTCCGCTTTTCTTCTGTGTCAGGCAGCACCCAAGACTGGCTTCAGGCAGCACAGGGGTCTCCGTGGCATAAAACAGATGGCTCCCCCCCACACCATGTGGCCCAGAGTAGCAGGTGTTTTCTACGCAAGCCTCATTGCACACAATGGGCGTGCATGCAGGTGCCTTCCATTCCCACCTGCCAGACACGGGGGACTGCCTCAGTCCTTGTGGGGGGGCAGCACTCCCTCCGGACACTCCCTCACCCCCTAGCATTTTCTGGGCATCATCGCAGCTCTTCTCTGCCAGTGGTGAAGCAAGCAAGATACAAATGTTCCTGAGCTGTGCAACATGAATTCATGTCCTGTAGTGTTACAGCAGAAGATTGTGGTTTTTTTTTTTAAAATGCTCTAAGAAATTAGTTTTCTTGTTATATCCAGTATTCATGGTGAAAGGATTTTTTCTTTTTGTCTTGTGTACCTTCAGAAAGACCTCTGCTAGCAATAAGCATTTATACTATATACTCTACAATATATGTGTGGTGTCAGTGTGTGTAATTCCAAATAAACAATTATTGTTAGGTAACAAACTTGTCATTTTCCCTGAAACACTAACAAATGGCTGGATTCAGTTTCAAAGGTTGCATAAGTCTTGGAAGTCTCTTGAGATCACTTAGAATCTGGCATACAGTTTTAGGAGTAAGCAATGACCCCAAGAAGAAAAACCTCATTTCCCTTAAAGCATCCCACTAAAGGGGTTGCCCCTTTTTTCTTCTTGGTGGGACCCCCAGAGGGCCTGTCTGAGCCAGACGAGGCCTGCTTCTCAGTAGCAGTATTTCCTTCAAAATTGAACTGGGGGGAGAACAGATTTTAGAGGGAATATTATTGCAGCTGCATCACTTTCTTTTTTTTAAAGAAAAAAAAAGCTCTAGATCACCGATCCAGGTCAGAGGAGACTCTTTCTCACCCCCTGTGGCCACAAAGTGAAGCTATCAGCGAAAGTGAATCACCGACCTCTGCAGTAAACTCTGGCTTCTCTGCAGGACTCTTGGATAAAGTTTTAAGAAGGGATGATTTTATTTCCTCTGTGGATGAGTCACACGTATGAACGTTGTGAGCACCCCCCCCCCGGCCCCGTGTCAGAGGGCCCATAAAGACCAGGGAGAGAAAAGTCTCAGGCTGGGTCAGCTTAGCAAGGCAGGCGAGGCTGAGGAGCCCAGAGCCAGCAGCTGGGCTCGTGAAGGGTGCGGGCACCTTTGGGGCACCCTGCACCTCCCTTTCAAGGCCCCATCCCGGCCTTGCCTCCGGAGCCCTGGGGAAGGAGGGCTGCCAGTGGTCAAGCAGCAGCCAGAGAGCCCAGCCAAGGCCTGGGACAGGGCTAAAAGCCCTGCAGTGGAGCTTTCGGGACCTTCCTTTGCCTGCCTGGCTGGATCTATCTGGGCCTGGACTCGGATAGACACCTGGTGCCTTTTGAGAACACTGTCCCTTGAATCTGTTCCTCAATGTAGATAAGTGGGGAAAGGAAACACTATCCAAACATCATCCACTTCAAAGGCACCATTGCAATCTGTCCATTTGCCAAACAAAAACTGTAAAAAGACTCACAATCTGACCCAGGTGGCTTGCTCCCAGGCTCTCCTACCAGTCCTGCTGCATTTGATGTGTTAATGGCTTGTATGCCTTCCAGCACCTCAAACATTGTGCAACAGCACCCTGCTGCCCCTCCCCGCCCTCCTGGGATGTTCACCTCCCAGCAAGCTGGCCTCCTCCAGAAAAGTTGTTGTCACAGGGACCTTCCGGTTTTCCTTGGGGAAGCCATGGCTCCTCTCCACAGAAAGGTGTGTGTTGTGTCCTGAGCCTGCAAAAGCAGGCTCGGGATGTTGCATTGGTCCCAGGCATTCCGAAAGCTGCCCGGGACCAGACAGAGCGGCGCCGGCCTTGTGCGCATGCGCAAGGCACAAAAACACTCTGTTCCTATTGGTTGTCACTGTCCGGGCTTCTGGCCATATAAAAAGGCCTGCGTGCCTTTTGCTTTCGCTTGGTTGTTGTAGAATAAAGTGTTTGTTCAGCATCGCCATGTGTTTTCATCATTCACACGCAAATGAAGTATACAACACTGGTGACGAGGATGGGATCCTTTGCAAGCTGAAACAAAATATTTAAGGACTTACCCAGGAAGTCCTGAAGAGGGGAAGACGGTGTCTGAATCAGCATCCCAGCCTGCCAGTATAGCGTCGCTGGAGGGTGAGCTCGGCTAAAGGACCCTTTCCCCAAACAGCAGTTTGCAGAGGAAGCAAGTGGTGAAGGTCATAAACTGTATGATGTCGAAGACTGGCCGCTTGTCTGATTTTGATGTCTCCCACCCAGAGTGATGGAATTCCTTTGTAGCACGGGTGGAGAACTACTTCAGAGTAAATCAGATTAGGGAAGATGGCCTGAAGGCTGCAACTCTTTTGTGTGCCTGTGGAAAGGAAGCTTTTGACATCACAGAGAATCTGGTGGCCCTGCACCTCTGGAGTCAGTAACATATGCTGACTTGAAGAAAATGTTGAAGGAACACTTCCAGCCAAAGTTACCTGTCATTGCTTGGAGGCACGCGTTCGAGCAAAGAGACCAGAGGCCAGGTGAATCTGCTGCGGACTTTATTGCGGCCTTAAGGCAAGCAGCCAGACCTTGTGAGTTCAAGGATCTGGAAGAGAGGCTGCGAGATTACTTCATATGCGGTTTGAGGAGCAGAGACTTACAACAGAAGATTTTTGCAAAAGAAGATGTCTCTTTCCAAGATGCGCTACGAGAGGTGGCAGCTGAGGAAGCAGCAGGCGGGGCTGTGAAGGCCTTACGGCTCACCAGGAACCCTCCAGACACAGCTACCGTCCATCAAGAGGACGCTCGAGAAGGATCGGAAGCGGATCCTGAAGAGGAGGTGGACAGACTTCACCAGCCAGCTGAAAGGAGGCAGAAGGAACGTCTGCACAAAGCCCCAGCATCTTTTCAATGCTTTGGGTGTGGAGGATACCACAAGCGAGCTGACTGCAGGTTCCACTCCGCCATTTGCAGAGCGTGTGGCAGGCAAGGCCACATCGCATCCATCTGTTTGGGTCGCCAGAAGGTCCCACCTCATGAAGAATTGCGTCTGAAAGGTACCAGGGTTTCCCAGCCAACATAGGGTGGGTTTCTGTGAATCGTGCAGGAGTATTCTGAGGACAGGGACACACAAGCCCCTTAAGAAGAAACTTTCCATTAACATAAGGTTGCAAGGGGTTCCCCTATCAATGGAGTTGGACACTGGGTCCGCTCTCTCAATTATTTCAATTAACACATTCAAAAGGATATGCAGCAGCAGTGGCCTTCGAGTTAAACTCAGGCCATCGAATCTAATACTTACTGATTTTCAGAATTCTATGGTGTGTGTTAAGGGAGAGGCCACCCTTAGAGTACAGCATAAGGATTTTGAAGGTCCCCTAGATGTGGTGGTTGTTGGGGGTGAACGTACGAGTCTTATTGGACTTGATTGGTTTGAGGCTCTGGGAATCCAGGTAACTGGGCTGCACCATTTGCAAATGTTGAGCCTTGCAGAAGTCTGCAAGGAGTTTGCAGATGTGTTTAGTTCAGAACTAGGATCCTACAAGGGGCCTCCAATTTCGCTATGGTTAGACCCAACCATCACGCCCATCAGGGTTAAGCCTAGGAGGGTACCTTTTGCCCTCAAAGGAAAGATTGATGCTGAGCTGGACAAATTGCTCCAGCAGGGCATTTTGGAACCTGTGGATT